AGGCACATGACAACCCCCCCTTTCCCTACAACTCCCCTCGCACAAATTTATATTTGTTTGTGTGTTTGTGTGTGTGTGTGTGTGTGTGTGTGTGTCTATTTCCCTCCCGCCTGAATTTCTATCCCACCTACAGTTATGTATACCCCGGTGCTTGTGTGACATGACGCACACAAAGCTCAACCTATTGGACGGCCTCTGCATTCACCGCATTGCATTGCTCTCTCAGACTTTCACACGTACTGTGTTTGCCAACAAATACACACTGTCATGAGGCTCTATTCACAGGCACACATACAGTATATACCCACACACTCAATGAATTTATCCACTTGTACACAGTGCAGCTATCACAAGTGCCTATGTGATCTCTACCAACAAGTAGCGAGACTTTAACTACAGCGGTGTCACTTGACAAGTTGAGGTAGCACCAAGTACACACACACACACACACACACACACGCATAGACAAACTCATGCCAAATGACTTTAGGCTTTGTTGTGCTCATGCCTGGATCAAGTTTTACCAGTGCAACTATGTCATTCCTGTTGCTTTTTCAGTAGTCATTTGGTAAGGTGATCCACTGGAAAGTGTCTTGTTGGATATGGGTTAGGCCTCTGAGGATGCAGGAGTGCAGAGTACAGCCTTTGTCTGGTTGCAATAAAATGCAAGGGAATTTGGTTTCAAATCAGACAAGACTCCCTTGCTTTAGATGAGCTCTGGGAAGAACAGCACATCCATTAGCTTTTAGCACTATGGGTGTATCTCTTACGAGCTACACAATTCTTGTTCCCGGCTAAGATGGCTTAAATGGTAAGAACTGTGTCAAAAATGGGGTAATGTGGGTAAATGCACAAAATAAGATTTTGTGTAGGCTAACAGTTGCACAAGTAGAGGCAAGTCACAAAGTCAGTGAACTGACTGTAAAGTAAAGTTTGTCCAGAGCAATATTTATCTAAAGGTATAGAGAGGGCTAACCTTAGCCAACATAAGCTACTGGTCATACTGACTGAGATCAACTGTAGCTGTTAACTCATGAGTGTATTGAATTGAGCACATTTCATTGCTACTGAACTAAATTTTTCTTTTGTAAAAGAACTCTCTTCTTTTATAAGTTAAATAGTCTGATTTTACATAGTAGGAACTGCGTGAAAATGGTGTAATTAAGGATAATGTAAATGTAACAATAGCACAAACGTTATTAAGTTTTGCTGACTCAGAAATGTCAATTACAGCAATGTATGTAAAGTTAGCTAACTTTAGGTATGAGCTACTGTTCATAGGTGCTAAATGCCTATGTATTGGATGGAGCAAGGGCGCTCTCAAGAAAAAGCCTGTTATTTCTTCTTTTAAATGTTACTCTGAATTTAAATAGTGGGAACCGTGTGAAAATGGTGTGATTCGGAATAACTGTAAATAGTTCAACAGCACAAAGAAGTCATTTAACTGACTAAGTAAAGTCAGTAATACACAAATATTTATCTAAAGCCAGCTAGCTAACATTGGGCATTATAAGCTGCTGGTCGTATCAGACCAAGTTAGGCTGTAGCTGCTAAATGAGTGTATAGAACTGAGCAAGGCTGCATTTATTTCTAATGAATTCTGCTTCTTATTTGTAAGAGGAGAAATAATTTGTTCTATTTTTAAAACACTGATATCACCTGTCTGCAGTTCTCTGCATCAAATTATGAAGAGCTTGCATTCTTAGTCAATAACAAAATAACTTCTTTTAGAGCCATCTTTGCTGCTGATGTAAACACAGACAACTCCTCTACAACATTTCAGTATATGACCCTGCACCCACAGCATTTGTAAGCAGGTGTTCGACAGTGTTTCAAGTCATGTCCTGAAGATCTCTTGAAAGGGGCATCTTCACAGATGCCTTCACATCAACTGCTGTAAAATCCTTACTAAAGAAAACCGACCTACACAGTAATGCACTGACCAGCTTTAGGCCAATGTCCAACCTTCCGTTCATTAGTAAGATGCTTGAAAAAGCTTTCAGACTGAACTCTGATGAAAATACGGCCTCATTTCTCGTCCTCTTAGTGCTCAGTGTTTGATACGACTGATTATGATATCTTAATCAATCACTTTGAAAAGTTGGTTCAAAACATACATCAAGGGGAGAAAGTTTTACGTCAGTCTTGGAGATCATGAGTCTGAGAAACATGACATCTGTTTTGGGGTTGCGTAAAGGAGCTGCTTAAGTCCATTCATTATACTGGCTGCCACTTGGTGACTCAATCAGAGAGCACAATGTACACTTTCATGGTTATGCATTTGAAACATATCTGTACTCTGCTGAACTGAAATCCTACTAGTTGGCCCTAAAACAAAAAGAGAAATATTATTATAATAATCTGTAAATTAACTCCCTGGATTATATCTGAGGTTAAGTCTTGTTGTTGTCCCAGATTCAAGTCTAAGCATCTCTTTTATTCTTATTATTATGTTGTGAGGCATCATTACCCCTGTGTCGTTATTTCATCACATTATGTTGCCTTCTTTGATTTTTTCTCAGTCTTGCAATATTACCATCAGCGTGTCTCAAATCTTTCTTCCTCCTGTGTGAAATGAGCCTTACAGACAGACAAACAGTCTTGTTATTGGCAGACAGAAATATTTCAACATGCACACAGCATTGTGCTGCAGAGCAATAACTCTTTGCTCCAGAGGTATTACAGTATCGTTTAATTATATTGAAATAAGCTCGAACGGAACTGTCAGATTATGGAGACATTTTGTGATGAGTGGCATTTGTAAATCTGAAGTATATGGGCAGTATTTTGATACCAACCAAACATGTGTGTATTGCAGAGTACAAAGGTAAAGATCCTGCAAAAGTTGAACATTCACTATACAATGGTTGTTTTATTTCTGCTTTTTATTTCTGGTTTTTTTTCTTTGTGTTTGTTCAACAGCATTTACACGATTTAGGCTATTTGTATTCCACAGTGTTACTGTCACCTACATTTACCAACACAACTTCAGCCCAACCATAACCTCTTATCTAATCTGCAGTGTGTTGACACACATTGATTTGTCCGTACCATTACAGAGTCACACCACGTGTGCTAATGGTTTGAACTTGACTGTACAGTTGGCGAGATCAGGGTTCAACTATTGCAAAAAAAAAAAAAAAAAATGCTGCAGGGAGTCCCTCTTATACACGGGTGTGTATTGGATGTATGTAAACAAATAGGTGTATGCTTCAGAGATAAACCTGCACTGTAAACATATGGTTGAGCTAGGTGAAGCAGCAGGTGTGTGCGCTCGTACCTGTGTGCCTGTGTGAGGCGTGTGTGTGGAAAGACTGTGTGCATGCAAGGCCATAAGTAAACACTGCAAACATCTATACGTCTCCTGCAATCCAGAGGTTCCTACCGTCCACACAGATGAGTATTCAAACTCACAACCAGTGGTGGTGTGTGTATACTACATATGTATACTGTTGGCTTCAAGGTATGTGTGCTCAGCTAAAATAGGAAAATATACATGCACAGCCTCGTGCCAGAGGAGAACACGCTTTGCAAACGAAGACCTCGGTGAGAAACCTTGAGAAACCCAAGCAGCAGGCAGTCAACCTCCGCCTATCCACACAAGAAAAGTTGGTGTTTGTTCTACCACACATGAGAGATCTTGTGTGTGCTTCCATTTAGCAGACAGTTGATAAGTGTAGGACAGAGCAGGACTTGTAAAGGATGAATGACCACACACATACACACACACAGAGAGAAACATAATGTGGATTGATTCATTCCCTGAACACACACTGGAAATGTAGGCTGAGTTGCAAATGTTGATTACATCTGCAAGTATTTTCAAAAAAATAATTGCGCATATATTAATTTAGTTTGTGAGTTGTGGGGAATGTTGATTTTGCAGTATCTTTACTGCAAAGTAGTAGGTGATGATTTTTTTGTTATTGTTTGTGAAATGTCTGTTTTTGGAGAAATGCTTAAAAGGATGCAGGGAAATATAGGTAATGTAGCCTATAGACTAATATATTTATGCAGATAAATAATGGATGATCTTTGTGTAACATAATCACTCAGATACATTTATCAATCAAAATGACTGATATGGATTTCTAGTACATCTGCGATGTTTCAACACACACAAAACAACAATAAAAACAAATAAATAAACACAAATACTTATATAAATAAATGTTATAGATAGAATTATAGTGGGTGGTGAATGAAACATAATATATAGCATATAGCACATGGAGCTACAGTATATACATACTGTACATGTATGCAAACTGAAAAAGCATTATGAGAGCAGAAAAGGGGAAGAGAGCAAGAGGGGGTGTTAAAATGTAGGATGTGAAAAAATACTCTATATCAACAAATAGCACAGGCAAAAAATGTAGAAATAGCCTAAAAAACTCATGTGACCAAGCCCCCATTAACACACAGACATCTGATCTGTAGACTTTAAAATCCTGTTGTAATATGACAATTAAATGTACCTTGTACCTTTATTATTTATTAAGTTAACTATTAATTTACGATGTCTGCAGGTTTTGTTTCACAACATGAAGGTCTAAATGATATATCAACTCTACTGCCAGGAATAACAGTAGAGTTGATATATCATGAATTTAAATATAGGCTTCTGTATGTAACATAGCCTATATACATTTACAAGGACATGACCTCAGTGTCTTCAAAAGTATGTTTGTTTATGCACCGGTAGGCCTAGAGACACGCAACATGTGATCTTTTACTGGAGAAATAGCCTACATGATATAGGCTGCTTTGACTGTCAAGAACGCAGGCTAAACAGACTTCGATGGAACCCAATCTTTGTACCCAGAAAGTCTTCAGGAGTCTCTTCAGGGAGAGCTGGAGGTCTTATCTCTGCGTGACCGCTGCCGGACTCGCTCAGCGGGAATGTGACGAGCCTTCAAAGGGGCGGGGAAAACATGGGGTGAATGGCACACGTTGTAAGGGGCGGGGAGCTAAAAAACTACTACATCTAACCGCCTCCGCCTCTTCAGAGTTTTCACATTGATAGACCACGACGATACCATCCGTATTTTCACGAACCTTATCGGAAGACGCGTTTGATATTTCATTTCAGTAAAGTTTTGCGTCAAGCTGAACCAAGAAACCAGCTATTTTGCTATGGCAAAAGGAGAGGGAGGGGAACAATACTCCAACGCTACTTTATTGAATAAGCCGGGCAGCTCGGACGGCATCAAGATCGCCAGGAAGGTGAGTCCAGTAATTCATTCAAAACGTTCCTTTATGGCGACGGTTTCTTATCTAAATCAGCTCACCAGACATCACAAGACGAAGAAGAAGCGGGTTTGGACGGGAATGTATCTTGAACACATGAATGAATTGATGCTTCCCCAGAGTAAAATGACAGTTTTTGGGGTCGTGGCTACAGCTGACGTTGGCTTAGGCGCGCCTTGCTCATTGTGATGTTTCTAGGATGCTGGAGTGCAGAGTTGACCGAAATGTCTCATTAGCCACTCCGTAAATTATTAAATGAATGAAACAATTGATACAAATGATAAACTTACTGAAATATGATTATTTTCAGTCAATACCACGCTAAGCCCCATCTCCCTCCTCTGATCCTCTGCAAATCACGAGACATAATTTAAATCGTAAGGTTAAACCCAAGGCTTTGGACGGTGTTCGTAGGCTATAACGTTACTTTAAGCCATACTCTTCGTTTATAGACTGTAATGATAGAGGTTTTCGGTAGCCAACACTCATTACCCCAGCCACACAGAGCTAAATTTAAATCCGAAAATACTAGGCTACTCTTCTTTTTTATGGCTACATTTTAAATATACAGCAATGTTCGTTTTTATGTTGGCGCAAGTCAGCTCGTCAGATATTCTAACTTTAGTCCTATAGGCTACACGGAGATTCCTCATTTGCATAATGATGTCTGAATTTTATTTTTTTGAAGTACAGTCGCACTGGAAATGTGAGTCTCGAAAACCGCGGTGGGGTGTTGTCGACTAATAGCAGCAGGAGGTAATGTTATCTAGACTATCCTTCATATAGCCTAATTTTTGGGGGGGCTTCGGTGTTGTAGTGCTGCGTTCAAGAGCCCCTCTGAAGCTCACACGCCCATATCTGAGCGAAGGGACTCTCACGCAACGCTTGGTGAGATTTAATAGGCTATAAATCGAAATTATCACACAAAAAATGTAACAAAGCCACCATAGATTTATTTGTAGGCCTAAATGTCTTTCGGTTTCAGGAATCATGTGACACAATGATTTGCATTGTAGTGGTGAACTGAGGAGGATAAAGCATCTTAGTGTTGTGTGATCTTTCATCTGAAAAATCTCCTCGGTTGGTAAAGAAAATCCCCACTTAATTGGTCATTTCAAGCGCATATCTGGGGGCAATTCCCATGTTTTCGACAGCTCTGAATGCAGCAGGGAGCAACCACCAAGGCAACGTGTCAGACAGGAGGAGCAGGGAGAGGACAGAGAGGATAACTTACTACAGAGTTTTTGACATTTCCGTCTTTGCCAAACTATATAGAGATTTCCAAATGTCTAAGTGCAACATTAATCAAAAACGTTTTCGCTACCTTTTAGAGTTTTGAAACCCCACCTGTTCTGGGATAGTATGTTTTGGCTCCACACTGGTAACATATCACTACTTGTAAGATACTGCTGATAACAGAAGCAGTAGCCTTTGAGGTAATGATAGGAGGCCAGCTTTCATGTCAGGTTTACATAGCACTGTTGCACATCCTCATTAAATACACTGTGAGGCAGACTGAATCTTTTTGAAGAAGGATAAGAAGACATCACAGACACATTCTTTCTCTAACTCGTGTAATTGGGATGAGTAATCCAAAGCCATGTGAAGGGAGTGACATTAATACATAGTCCTACTAACACATTGCTACGGTAGTTACATGACACAGTGGGTACAGGACACTTGCTGCAATGTCATTTTAAAACTAGAAGGGGCAAAATGTGTAATGTTATACACAGGTGCAGGAGGGGTATACTGAAAAACAGTTGGACTGCATCACATGGTGGGGTCAAGTTTGGAGTCACCAGGTAGTCCAACTGCTGTAATGCCAGTCACTGTGTACTAAAGTTTGAATTACTGTTTCTACGTTTTGATGGTGATGGTGTCTCATTTCAGCAGGAGAGAGTTTTGTCACCTAAACAATGACTGGCTTTCATGTATCAACAAGACATTGACCTGCAGATCTGACCGAGGATGAGCCAGTATCTCTTATCTTCTCCTGCATATTAGCGGAAACACTGTAATGTGCCTGCAGTTGGAGGTCATTTTATTAAGCTGGTGATGGTATCTTGAAACGGTTTTTATCTTTTGTCTGAGGCTATAACAGTAGCCATGTCCTCATTCAACACCAATGATGGAAAAATTCTTTGGCCAGCTGAAAAGAGGACAGATTAGGCAGCACCAAACACAATCTTTTGATTGGCCAGGGAGGAGGGTGTGTTTTCACCCCACTGTGGACAGAAGTGGTCAGACCGCTGGTCAAACTGGCAGACATCCCTTGGGATGTTAAGCCAGTTCAGGCAGACTGCTGCCAAGGTGTTGTCACCCTGGCTTTGAGTGCGTGTGACACCATGGTGTTGTCATGTCCTGGTGAGATCTGTGTTGCTATTAGAGGGTGTTGTTTAGGTCTGTCTGTCGAGGAAATGATCTACATTGGAGAAAATGGGGGGGGTGGGGTGAACACTTGTTAGAAAACCATGGGTTTCTTGTTTCCCAGTGGCTGTTCCTGACGTCTGCCAAATATGCTACATATGATGTTTAGCTTTTAGCCAGCTGAACTCTCAGCTCTCAAGACTATCTGGCGATTAAGAATTTAGGCCACATTCCTTATGAGGCACTGAAAAATGTGTCGTCTTAATCGGTCTAGTGGGAAACACGACGCTGAAGATTAGTGGAACGACAGGTTGACGCTTAAATTGTTCATACAGAAATGGAGAAAGCTACCTATGTACTGTAAAAGCCTGGGGAATATAAGCACATGGCGCTGTACTGCAGTCATCCTCTTAGGATTGCTGCCATTAACTCCCACCTTTAACTACAATGGCTAGGCCCTGTCTAAGCAAATACTGCAAATACTTTGCCTTTCAAGTTAGAAGTTAATGTTGAATACATAGTAGACTTAAAATCAGTGTTCATTTGTCAGGCGTTATCTTCCCAGTAGAGACGGACCTCATGTCTTCTATCTTGTCTGCGATTGTTTATTATTTACTAGTTGTGCAGGGTGAATGTAGTTGGTACATTTACTTTATTACCTGTATTTTTTTTCTCTTTCCTTGCTTTTTCCCCAGCACGAGCATAGAAACAGGTTGTCAGTTTGCAACAAGATATGCTATGCCATCGGCGGCGCACCCTACCAGATCACAGGATGTGCCCTGGGCTTCTTTCTGCAGATCTATCTACTGGATGTAGCTCAGGTGAGTTGGTTGAGATGATTTTAAAACTCTGTGGTCACACCTTTCCAGACCTTTAGTGTCACTTTCGTAACATAGCTCTAAATCTAGCTACCCAGTTGACCTTAATGGACCACCTTAGTGTCAGTGGGAACATACTGTACACCCACTACTGTCCTTCCTGTACTCGATATGCTGTCCTGCCAGAATATGTGTGGTGACATTTCCAGACTTGAGGAGTTGTACACGGTCCTTCCTCTGCCCTCAAATCACTTCTCTCATAAGGGCACAAAGGAAATGACTGCCAAAGCTCACCAACAAATGGAGCGATTTATCCTGGAAAAATGAAGAGGTGGAAAACATTCCTCTGTTGTTTCCATTATTGACTCCATGACGGGACTCAACTGTATCAAAAGGCTTACACAGGCTTGTTCTGAAAAATGTTGGGGCGGTGGGAGGGTGGGAGCACAGTGGGGAGGGGCTCGCTTTAATGGGCACTGACACTAATCTGATGGTCAAGGCCAAAATAGCGTGCAAGTCAACCGCTTCCTAGGGGTTTAGCTTTAGTTTAGTTGATTAAGAGTCTATTGGCCGACGCAGCATGGCGCAGATTGTACAGTCAAGGGTCGAGCATTCATCGTGCCTGGCTTCCAGTAAAGCTTGTAAGTAAGGCTACACAGTGCTGGATGAGCAGCAGACAGGCTGAGCTGCCAAGTGGCACCTTCACTATTTAACTTGATTCTTGCTAAGTGCTGCCATGACTATTGACCAGCTGATGACTCACTGTGTTTAAAGTAACAACAGGTAAACTGTACCACATAACATAACATGGTTTGTCAGCTTGGTGTATTTGTACACGTAAAAGATAGTAATGATGCGTAATAGTAATATTTTTATGGCAGCAAAGGGATTGAATGTGTTTCTGAAATGCTGTCTTTTGGAGCATCTAGAAATTACCCACTGTATTGATGACAATGAGGCCCTTTTACTGACACTGATGGACTAACCTTCGCGTCTTCTCCTTTGGCAGCTGGATCCCTTCTATGCCTCCATCATCTTGTTTGTAGGCCGAGCATGGGATGCCATAACGGACCCCACAGTCGGCTTCCTGGTCTCCCGAAGCCCATGGACGCGTTTCGGACGCATGTTGCCCTGGTAGGTCTAAGTTCCAGCTGGAACCAGACAGCTACAGTCTGATACCGTCTGACTTGATTTTAATATACATTTTCAAGCTTTTCAGTAGATCTGGGTAATCGTACTCCAGAGCCCCCTCCTCCTCCCAGCTTTATTGTTCAAGTCTCCTCCAGACTGTTTCCATTTCTTTCTTGATAAAGTCCAGTTGTGTCATTGAAACACTAAACCTGTTGTTGGGAAATGTGTAATGGGAGGGCTGCATTCAGCACTGGTGAGTCAGAGCTGTGTGTGAAATTTTTACGACACACTATACATGTGTAGGTGTTTGGGGGTGTGGCTTAATGAGGTGACTGCGTTTGAATTCTCCCAAGAGGGGTTACTATGGGTCATGCTCGTGATGTTCCTGCTGTACCACTTCCTCATTGCCCACACCTGTGTCCAATCAAGGTCCCTCCCCCCCTTTCTCTCTCTCTCACACTTGCTCACTCACTCTCTCTCTCTCTCACAACCTCAACTGCTCCTATGCATATAGGCCATAAAACAATACATTTTTGCCTACTATTGAAATGGTCCAGGCTGGACCACTAAGCCAAAATTGCCAAACGAAATAAGCAAAAGGCACTAGGCCTTTCTGTTATTTTACTAAACAAATATAGGGAGTACCTGCAGGTGCTAATCTTGCACATTTCCCACCCACTTTGGCACGGCATTGACAAATATAACTACAGCCTGCTACCAAGTCTGCCTCTTACAACAAACACACAAACCATTTTTGAGAAGGAATTCACCTAGAGGACTCAACTTGCATCTCTGTATGTTTGAATAGAAAACACATTTACAGCTGTTTTTTATATATATATAAATAATATAATTATAATAAATGAGAGAGATCGATCGATCAATTTTCATTCCCTCATGAGCATCATAATCGGACGCTAAATGAACGTTGCCTTGTGTCTTTGTCTGTGTGTGGCAGCCAGGCTGAGGGGAGTGGGAGGCCTGTGACACTTAAGGCCTTTTTCACAGAAAGGGTTACTGACCCCTTTCTTTTTAGCTGCTATGTCCCCCTCCCCCACTTCTCTGCCTCTCGATCTCTGAGCAACCTACATGGGCTTATCTTATTCGTATGTTCATGAATATATGACTGTTGAACAGTGGTCACTGCATGGTCAGACCCTCCTGGAAGTCATGACCCACGTTTATAGGGTAAAACTCATACTGTTATGTGGGAAAGTACGGTGTAGGGTGTTAGTGGGAGCTGCTGGTTATAGAAGTGGTCTCCTGTCAACACAAGATATTTTAGAGCCACTGTCCCTTCAGTATTTGGGAACATGCAGGGAACTGGGTGAAAGGGTGACAAGGCATGAGAGAATTTGAGTAAGACAAAGTAAGTGTCTCTAGGCAGCTTTATAATGGGCACCACAGGGAGATGCATGGCTGCAAGTTACACCAGCTCATTTGCTCCCTTGCCTGCTTGATTAGAAATATATAACTCCCCTAGTTGCTAATGAAATGTATGTAGCTTGTGTAAGAAGGGGCACAACTGGGAGATGAACCCAGTCATGAAGGTCTCATGTGGTCCCCTCCTCAGTTTCCTGTGCTGCTCCTGTGGGTGTACATGTGTTGAGAGCACCTGCATAATTAAATTTGAATACAAAGGAATAATCTTCCTGTTCAGCCGCTGGTTAGTAGTTCAAGAGAAGCACAAATGTGCCTCTTTTGGTATTGAAATCAAACTATGCCAGCTACAGATCTCCAAAATAGATTGAAAAAGTTTCTTGTTTTGCAAGTTAAGATGGTTTTATAGCCATATGACCAACCCTCTACTTCAGGGCTGTAAAGGAATTTGCTAACAGTTATTAGTAAAAGGTAATATCCACATAGTAGTCATTGTGACATTGTTTTTTGGTTTCTACATGTTAGCAGTTGTGGAACATTGTAGATTTACATCTATCACACACTCACTTTTGAATCCAAATCATTTCATGCATACTTTTAGAAATATTCAAGAAAGAAATAGCTTTGATAGACTTAATGTTTATGCAACAAATTCTGTTGAATTGAGCTTGATTCAACTAATTTGCAGGAGGGTTAAGGCTGGCATATCATTATGTCATTTTCAGCCACCATCACCTCATGTTTGAGTCACAGAGTGGGTCACGCTACTCCTGCTTGTGCAAAGCAAGATGCATCCATTGTTGCTGTCAGAGATGAGATATTGGTGGGGGGGTAGGGGTAGGAGATAGGATTGAGATGCTCAGTCGTAAAGATGTGAGGCGATGGGTGTGGTGCCCACGAGCAGGAAGGAAACGAGCAGAAAGGTGCCCAGAGCTGCTCAATCTTAAAAGCTCTGCGTATAGGAAGCGGGGGGGGAGATGAGAGTCAGGCTGCCTTCTCATTGGTCCAGCCCACAACACACCACATGAGTGAGCCAATAGCGTCTCAGCTCTTACATGCAAAAGCCTTGGGAGCATTTTTAAAGACTGGCTGAGGAATTCAGGAGGTTACTTCGGTTCAAGTTGCAGGGCAATGGGTAGAAGGTTTTACTGTTGCTGCAGAGCGACTCAACCAGTCAGACTGCTGCTTCTGTTCCCTAGACATGCATTTAAATCAATTTATTTGGACACCGACTGTATTTTATTAAGTATCCCAAGTTTGTATTACTACTTCAACAAACTGACTGCCCATCTTGCCAAATATGAATTCCAAATGAATAAAGACTTCTAAAGGAGATCGTTTGACTTGTTTTTACATACATTTCACATAAAGCAGGATTTATTGTCCTGTAAGTTTATGTGCTTTTCAGAGCATGAAAAGATGAAGTCAAGTATTCAAAACCAGTATCTTGGCCAGGTTTTTGTATTTTATTACATGTGCTCACCCACCCGGCCCCATGACAGCTGCCAAAAGAGAGAATTGACATATTTGCTGTGCTGTCAGCACAAGTTCTCACAGTTAATAAGCACCAGACTAAAAGCTGTCACCTGCAAAGTTAACTTGCTGAGATAAAAATCACCCCTCCCTAGTCAGCACAGCTTTAAATATGATTACAGGAGGAGCACCAGGCCAGTACTTATATGGCCTACTGTGTCCCTACAGTTCTGCAAGCACAGTACAAGTCTTTGCTTAGCCCTGCAAACTGTGTGACAACAGCATACGCTGAAAAAGATAGCACTTGAAAGTCCATTTTTCAAGTCTACATGTTGCTTCCATGGCTGGTTTCACCCATGTTGTTGGATCTCTGAAGGAAGCTTTTTTTTTTTTTTTCCCACTGACTGACACACTGTCATCATTTGGCACAGAGAAAAGGAGACTTAAAAATGCACTCCTAGGTGTCATTTCTAGATTAAAAACACCTGCTTGAACTTGCACACCACACCTGCAGATTGCGACTTCTCACAAGTGTGCAGTTAATCACATCACATATGTGAGAGTCTTGTTTGGCTATAAATATGCTTAAGTTGATTAGAGGTGAGACTGCAGTGTTCGGTTACAGAGCGCTTTGACTGGATATTAGCCGGTGCCACGGCAGGATGTTGCATCATTTTTGTATACACGGCAATGGTCAACAATGGCGTTTCTGGGAAGGATGACTCACCTGATATTGAAGTGATTAACAATTCCCATAGAGAGTAGACGTACAAGCAGGATGCAGGCCCTGCTCCCTGCTCCATGAGCCACGCTTTCCAGAGGAGTGGTTGCTCTCATAATCTCACGTCTGATTGGAGAGTGTCGATCGGACCATAGGACGAAGGAAGTGACCAAAGGAAGTCGCCTCCTGCACTATTTCAGCATTTGGCTTCTTAAAAATGTACGGGGGAGGAGGAGTAAACGGATGACACAGAAGTGATTACCAACCCAGCATCTGAACATTTTTTGTGAGACTCTCACACATGCAAGGCCTCAAGGAACCATAAAATGTAACAAAGTGTTTAATCAGTCATCTGTACCTGGAAAAAACACCAGCAAGTGTTGTTTTGTTTGGCAGTATTCCCCAGTGTTCCACCCTCTCACCCCATCAGATCCAGCCTTACTTGAATCCTTACCTGTTTCATGCACGTGAACACCAGGAACACTGTGTGTCTGTATGTATGAATGACCATCAGGAACACTGTGTCTCTGTATGAATGGTAATCATTGTAAAACGGTTAACTCAAGTGAGGCACCAAGCGGTGCTGAGCTGAGGAAAAGTTGGCCCTAATTGAATGGAAGCCACACTTAAATGGCTACACTTTGTTATGTAACTGAGTGTCCCCTCTCTTCATAAAGACTGGTAATTGTTTACAGAGTGAGAGTTTCACGCTTGAGTAGGATCACAATTTCTTCCACTGATGACGGTTTTTGTTGTCGTCTCTTCTTGTTCCCCTCCCCTACTCTCCTTTTTCCATCCAAAGGATCGTGCTCTCAACCCCTCTGGCTGTGCTCGCCTATTTCCTCATTTGGTACGTTCCTCCCTTTGAGGACGGCAAAGTCATCTGGTACCTATTCTTCTACTGCATCTTCCAGACCCTTCAGACTGTGAGTACCACACTTGTGCACAAACAGCAATATTAGGCTATCTTGGCTCAATTGTTGAGTGTCTGTGGAATCAAATAATAAGGAATTGAGCAAAACTAATCAAGTAAACCAAGGCCGGTGGGGTGAGCGGGTGCCTCAGCTTTGTCTGAGAGGAGGCCCACAGTCTCAGACTTGGCACAAAGACTGGAGACAAAGGGACACAGCTAGCCTGGTTCTGTAAATTTTACAGAAATTAGTGTTATCAGTCTCATTTAACTTTCTACCAGAATGCAAAGAAACAAATTCCCCAAAATGTAAAACTATATATATATATATATATATATATATATATTTTTTTTTTTTTTACTTTTGCTATTCTCTGCATGACCAAAAAGTGTAATTAAGAGCTGCATTCATTTTCTTACCTTGCTACTTCTTTTTGTCTTTGCAAATCAGTGCTTCCATGTGCCATACTCTGCCCTCACCATGTTCATCAGCTCAGAGCAGAAAGAAAGAGACTCAGCCACTGCGTACAGTGAGTATCACACTCCCGCATGTAAAATATTTTCTAAATGAATCTCCTGACAGAAATGAAAAGTCTAAGGTATCGCCTCAGTGACTAGACACCTCTTCTATATTTCCTCCAATCAGGGATGACTGTGGAGGTTCTGGGCACTGTTGTTGGTACAGCCATCCAGGGGCAGATAGTAGGTATGGCGAACGCTCCCTGCCTCCCAGGACCCGGCGACATCGTGGCAGACCTGAGCAACTCCTCAAAGTCTGTTGGGCTGAACGACTCAGAGCCTGTCATTTCCCTGGAACACACGGTGAGCAAACATTCACTATCATATTGAGTCTTGTGTTTGACAAAAGGTCAATAACAACTTTACTGGTCGAAGAACAAGAGCTGCTCCAAATGGTGTTTGCTAATGGTCGTCCTTTTCCTCTGTTGTTTCTTCCTTACAGAAAGCGGCCTACATGATTTCTTCTGGCATCATCTGCTCAATCTATGTCCTCTGTGCTATTGTTCTTTTCTTCGGTGTGAGAGAGCAAAAAGGTAAAGCATTAATCACATGCTCCATCCTTCAATTTAGATTCCAATGTCCACTTCTTTCTTTTAAGTGTGAATCTTGTTCAGTTAAATAAAGTTCATGGCTTTACGTCACTATTAAACACTCCCAAAAACACAAGTTGATCATATTCAGCTTCCTGTGTGGATGCACAAACACATGTCTTAAGTGTGAGAGAGATGCTATTGACGTTTCCACTGTAGTCCAAGGGGGATACGCAGTTGGTATCCATGTGGGCTGATGGGCTGTGTGAGAGCCCACAGGCTTTGGTTAAATTAGAAGCCTCGTGAACAATGATGGGTCAAATAGTAATGCAGTAAAGTATGAGCCTTAAAGGCCGCTGTGGTGGGGAAAAAGCGTGTTTAAATAAACAGCTCAGGCAAACACTTTTCGTTCTGTGAATTTTATTAAAGTCTTCTGCAGAAGGAACTCACAGGGACACATACGCATCAGAGAGTATCATCCGAGTGAGCTGCAGTGTCTCAGCACATGCAGCTTTTATCTTAGTTTCAGGGTCGGTGTACTATCTCATCAAAGGAACATGGTGTCTTTCAGTGTTACCTACGGGACACTCAATCTGGATCTATAGAAAGACACCCATGTCCAAGGTACATGTGGTGAACCACTAAAAGTCCTGACCCCTCTGGACACACATTTACCTTCCATTGACCCCATACCCAAGAGGCTGGAGGCCCCTAGTGAGATTAGTTACATGGCAGTTTTTAAAGATGCTTCTCATGAAATTCCCATGACACCGCTCTTGTAAAATGAACAGAAACCCCATGGTAGTTGGAATGAAAATATAGGAAAATGTTTGGAAGTGGAAGTAACTTTGCATCGTTGTTCATTCTTTTTTTTTTTTTCTTCTTTCCAGAGTCTTCTCGTCCAAAGTCAGAGCCCATGGGATTCTTCCAGGGGATTAAGTTGGTGATGGGGCATGGACCGTACGCCAAACTGGTCATGGTCTTCCTGTTTACCTCGCTAGCTTTCATGGTGCGTATAATGACATACAAACTACGGGCTTCGTTAGGGTGTCAGTCACTCTGTGCCCGCCCTATGTTTGTATTTTGGTTACTGAATCAACTAGCTCTTCTTACGTTAAAAGTCTCTCACTGTTTTGTGCTCCCAGCCAGAGTTTACTCGGCACCTGCAAGGTGTGCGTGTGTTTAAATTTTGTCTGTGCTTTGTCTGACAGCTCCTGGAGGGAAACTTTGCCCTGTTCTGCAGCTACACACTGGGCTTCAGAAACGACTTCCAGAATATTCTGCTGGTGATCATGGTGAGTACAGACACACAGGTGGCATTTTCGGTTCGCACAAGCAGATAGGCGCACTGTTGCCGTAGCAATGGCCGCATTTCCCTCAGCATACAAAACCTCGAGCTGCCCATTTGTGTGGAATAAGTTATGCCATTAGCTTGAGAGTGCAGACAAAAGCCTCCGTTCCAGGGCAAACGCATAAATTGTCTTCAATTACAAGGCTGTTTTGTACTTGGTTTGAAAGCAGTGTCTCCTGGCTGCCCATTACCATGATGTGCGTCCCCTCTCATTGCTCTGCCTGAATGCCATCCCATTCCCACAGACAGTAAAGGAGCCACATTTGATTATCCTTTCTTTTATCTCCTGACCTGTCTTGGAAAATTCTTTCTCATATCAAAGAATTACTTCAAATCCCGACAGGTATTTAGATGTGCTTTCTGTAGCACGCACGGCAGAACTGTACAGGTTAGTGAGGCTGAAAAGATTACAAGCTTTGATCCTTAACTTTATGGAACGGATTACGGAGCCAAGAAAGTGACCTTTTTGTTTAAAGTACATTTATTTGGTGAAATACATTTTTAGAGGTTTCAACAGTGTGCGTGAGCTTTCTCTGCTCCTTAGTGAGTGATGCTAATCTTCACCTTCAGTAATTTGGAGGAGACGTCCCGGAAGCTCCGATCTTATTTGTACAACGATAAGTTAACCAAATCAAAACGAACAGCTTCTGTATAAGGACTCACTCATTCATACTGGTTGTCATTTAAATCTCCGTTGCTCTCATATCTGACTGTTTCAATCCATTTACTAATTGCAAAAAGAGCCTTGTGTGTAGTATTTGCTGATGTGAGGCAGGTTGCAGAAAGCATGCGGCAGGGTACATTGTTCTCTAGCTTTGCTGCTGCACCGTAAGTTAACTCATTTTTTTGAGGGCTGCACAGTGTTTTTGTCAGTTGTGCTACTCAGTTTCATTTTACAGGAAAAAGACATCATGAAGAAGTGTAAACATGCTTTTATGAGAGCTGTTTATAGGGCTGTTTTCTGATTATAGATCAGATTATATGTATTTATCATTTGCACAGGTACAAGACCGTACAGGTTCTCTGGAATTCTTGTGCGTATTTCTCTGGATCTGCCCAATAAATAATAATAAACTGAAAACACAAGCAAACAGGCTCATAAAGCAGAGGTTGGTGTCTGGACAAGGAAGTGACATGGACTGTTGGTTTTGAAGACAAAGATCAGACTCAGTTCAGGTGCACGCATACAGCTGATACAAGTGAAACAATATTGTACATGCAAACGGGAAGGAAATGAAAGTGCTCACTTACACATGGTGAGAAACCACATTAAATAGCTTTTGAAGCCACAGAAAGATGTCATTGTCACATATGGTTGTTCCGCGAGACATGTAGGTGGTTTGTCTCTTAGCTTAGTGTTTCACTCATACCATAACAAAAAGGCGGGAAAAATACTGCTGCACCGCGGCTTTGTGTTACTTTTACATTAGTCAGACATAGAGGGGTCATACTGATCTGGGAGAGCCCTCTGCCCTCCTGTAGTGTCACGGGAAGACCCCTGCTGAATTCTGCATCACATTGAGCTCAGATTTGTTTTGGGAAGAGCCATGAAAACCGTATTGTCTTCCATCTTTACTGTTGTGTTTGGCAGGTATGAGAGTTTAAATGTGCGTCTGCATCGCTGCGCTTTGAGTCTTGTTACACCCAAACGGAAGCCCAAGCATTTTGAGAATGCATCTAATGTCATGCATTTCTACCATTATGTACACAGGGGGGGCTCTGTTGTTGCTTTTGCAAAATCATGTTAACCTGTAATAAAAGGCCTTTTGTGCAATTTATTTAAACTTATTTTAGTTTTGTGTGTGTGTGTGTGTGTGTGTGTGTCAAAACAAACCATACAGCTGGTTAACCAGACTTTTAATGTTTTCCCCCCTCTCTCAGCTTGCTGCTACACTGGCCATTCCGTTCTGGCAGTGGTTTCTGACTCGCTTTGGGAAAAAGACTGCGGTTTATGTTGGCACCTTGGTAAGTCCCATAATCACGTCCAAACACCACTTCTAAGTCATATGAAGCCTGCGAGAATGACAGGAATTGAGTAATACTGTAGAAGTTGCAGGAAAACGGCTGTAGTGCCATTTAGAGACTCGTTTTGGGAAGTAAATCTTTGAATGATGGCTAATCTCATGTGCTTTAGAGGTCTAATGTGTTTCTGTTCTTTCCAGTCTGTGGTTCCCTTCATGATCATGGTGGTGGTATTGAAGAGCAACCTGATTGTCACCTACGTTACCTCATTTGCTGCCGGGGTCGGAGTGGCTGCAGCCTTCCTGCTGCCCTGGTAAGAACCCTGACTCTTTTGTTTGGTTGTTTTTTTTTTCCCCCCATGTTTACCTATTAGGAATACACATGACCAAGCGTGTCTCTAACTTTGTGTTTTTGCAGGTCTATGCTGCCTGATGTTGTCGACGATTTCCAAGTGCAGAACCCGGACTCCACCGGCCACGAAGCTCTCTTCTATTCCTTCTATGTGTTCTTCACCAAGTTCGCTTCTGGAGTCTCCCTAGGCATCTCCACTCTCAGTTTAGAGTAAGTATTAGCTTAACACACACACAAACACACACAGGTTGAAGGTGTTTCTTTTTTATTCAACGCACTGGGACACAATAAAAGAAAGTCTGGGTTATGCCAGATTGAATTGGTTTGATTGAAATAAAACAAGAGATTTAGGTTAGCAAAGTTGCTTGCATCAGAGCCCACCCTTTTTTTTTTTTGCCACCACATGAGTCACATTCATGCGACTTTTGGCCTGCTCAACATCTGTGCCCTCCCTGCAGTGGCTAGGTTAAGCCAAATATCCCAGCACCCAAATCCCACATCAAAGCAAGAAAGTCTTTTTGCTTTTACTAGATTAAGTTCAGTAAGGCTATGGTATTTGTGTGTTTGCTGTGTACATGCTTCACATGACTGACTTTACGGCAGAGTGTTGGTCTTTGATCAGTGATTTGAGGAATCAAGATCTTGGCTTTACTTTGGATTACCATAGAAGATGCATGTCTGAACATTGTGCCCTGCAATGCATAAATGTAAAGTACTTTCAGTTTCATGACGTTTCTTCTTTTTCAGCTTTGCAGGCTACATCAGTAGAGGCTGCTCTCAACCCGAGGAAGTAGATACAACCTTGAAACTGCTGGTTTCCGCCGCCCCCATAGTTCTCATCATAATCGGCCTGGTCATATTGTACTGGTATCCGATCAATGAGGAGAGGAGGCTAGGCAACCGCAAACTGCTACAGGAACAGAGGTATGGCTGTGGATTGAAGTGTTTGACTCTTGTGTTTATGTGTCAAGTTTATTTATAAAGCACATTTAAAAGTTATATAGTAGAAGACATAAAAATTAAAACCAGATAAATTAAAAACAGGGCAAACAATTAATGACATACAGCAATAAGATGGTGTTAGTGAAGCAAAGTTCCAACTAAAGAGATGTGTTATTTTTGCACAGGGACAATGAGACCGATTCAGAAACAGACTCGACAGAACTGGCCAACGTGATCTAAGACATTTTAGAGACCCACGGACCAATCGGGTGATCGACTGGCATTTTGCACTGGATGGGATCAACGGACGTGAGCCTGTCGGATCATACAGACACTGCCTTGTCCAATCACACTGCTGCTGTTCCACGTCTACAAAGTTGACGACAACACATGCAATTCACTCTGTTCTTTCGTTCAGTCGGATCTCAAAAGCCTTACTTTTTGAATAACTTACGACTTTTGAGTACTGTGAAAAATCGTTTGTTAAAGGTTGGTCTTGTTCTCAGTTGAAATTGCACAGAACCATGAAATGTGATGGGAGCGTGTTTCATCTGTGCTGCCATTACTGGTGCTATTTGCTGGAGCTAAACAATTTCCATCCTTGTATGCACCACATTGAAAATTATGACCTTGAGCACTACGTTAAAAGCAACTTTATAGTTCTGAGACGTGAACGTCGTGACAAACTTGAATAGTGTTAACGCCTTAATGTTAGCCCTGTTTCGGGGTAAAATTCCAAACTGAGACTGTCACTTGTTCTTGAGTCATTGAATTGGTGTTGAAATGTGTTGTGTAATCTTTCAATGAATCCTCAATGTTTACTTAAACCAGTCAGCCCATTTGTTTCCATCTCATTGCCATGGCTTGTTTTTTTTTTTTTAATTATTATTTAAAGTAGCCGTAATAATGTGATGTTGGAACTAGTGGCCGGACTGTAACAGCTGTGCTCTGAAGGGCTCCTTTTAGTTCCCCACCATAGCACTGAAACCACTACGATAGTAAAAGGAGGGAGTTTGAACACATAACTGCAATATTTATCCAGCAATTACATTACTCACATTATCTTATTTATAGGATAGCTACTGAAGACAGGGAAAACTGATTTCCTCTTAATGCTTTCATTTCCTTAATACTGAGATAAATGGTGACTATAACTGGTACTAATTAAGTGATATCATTATTTAAATATTTATTAGTTTTAATTTGTTTGAATTCATGTGTGCTGGTAAGCTAATGCTGCTTGCAGTATGTAAATCTATTTAAGGCCTGTAAGGACCTATATTAGAAGTTTCAAAATGAAGACAATTGGGTGGGAGTCAAATTTTAAAACCTTTACTCGCCTTTTTAATGCATGTTGCCATCACTACTGTCTTTACTCCATATGCATTCAAAAAGGGAAGTACGTAATTGTGAAAAAGATTGGAAGATGGGGTACTGAATTTGTAGTCTCCTTAAGGTTTTTGTTTTTATTTTTTTCTGTGTGCGTATGTGTTTATTGAAGGAACTACCAGGCTGTTTTGTGATCATCTCAGTCATGAAAGTATGGATTGACATTTCATATCCATTGATATGCAAATGTAGTCATAGTGTCATATGTTATACATACTGTTACATCTTCAACATGTTGTTTCTGCCGATGTGCAAATTTTTATTTACTTCACTTTCATTTTTTTACTGCACACGCCAACATGGTGCCATTTTCACCGTCTGAGCCTGTAATAACTGTACATCATGTAAATCTGACTGTTTTTTATTTTGTTTATTTTGTATTTTATGGGTCCGTCAGTGAATTTCCCACATGACTATTGAGGCTGTAGCCAAATGTGTGAGCTTTAATCCCACAGGGACACACACAAGCCTTGTGTACATGCCTCCTGTGAATATGTAAATATTGTATGTAAACCTGTAAATATATTTTGGTTGGTATTTTGTGGCTGCAAGGGAAATTGACCTATGTACACTGTACTGTAGTTATTTAAGAAAAACGTAACAAAATTTTGTTAATAAATACTAATTGATAAGTGTACTGTGAACAAGCTGTCAACACTTATTTTTTTTAACCTGAAACAACTGTTACTATAAAAGACTTGCTTGAGTCACTTTAAACAAGAACAAATATGAAGAAGATATTTTTAATGTACATACATGCATCATTTGGATAACCAAACGCCAAGAGGTAATGATATAATTCTCCTGAAATTTTAGTAACTTCTTATATAGTCTGCCTTCAAACTATTCATGGTAAACTACTGCCATCTAGTGCCAGGGTTTTGTCCGAATTTTATAAAATATTGATTAGCAAAAAAATAAAATAGAAGTTACAGTAGATGTGTGGCGAATCAACTACTAATTATTATTGCATTTATAGACACAATCCATTAAAATATCTGATAAGTGACAAGTCAATACTCTTGACTTTTTTAATTTGAGCCATGATCCTAATGTATCAATTCTGTGAGTTAATGGGCAGTAATTGTCTTTGTGGGTGTAGTGATATTATAACACAAACTGTGTGCTTGAACGATGACTTGTGAATTGATTTCCAGATTTATATTGTCACTTTTGAGCCCCATAGGCTATATTTACACTGACTTTATATTACAGATTACGTACGTTTATGATGCTTTTCAACACCTTTGACATAAAACACAACTTTGAGCTTTTACCAATGTCAGGTGATGACTATAAAGGAAGAGTTCGTGTAAATACAGATAAGCTTCTGGTAGAAGTCATTAGCCTTTATTTTGAAGGACGAACATTCAAGCCGGAAGTATTTACATTCTGTTAGCATACACCAGCTAGTACAAGGCACCTCAACTTCATAGCTATTTTTGGCTGTTTTTGCTCCATGCCTGTCATAACCAAAAAGAAACCACAACGACGCTAGCTGAACAAGCACATAACGTAAAAAAAACACTTTAAGATATTTGCTTCATGGGCTTGTTTAACGTTTATTTTCTGCGCTAAACTGACATGGCTGCTAACCCTCCAGCACCAGGCTTTCAGAACAAGACCCGGGTGGCCATCCTGGCGGAGCTGGACAAGGAGAAGCGGCGGCTGATGCAGAGCCAGTCCCTGAACAGCCCCGGAGCCAACATCCCTTTGTCGTCCAGACCCGTCCTGAAGGAGGTGAGGGACAGCGCGGAGCAGCAGCACATCGCCGCGCAGCAGAAGGCCGCCCTGCAGCACGCCCACGTCCACTCGTCCGGCTTCTTCATCACTCAGGACTCCTCTTTTGGGAACCTCATCCTCCCGGTGCTCCCCCGGCTAGAGCCCGACATTTGACTCTGAGCCTCCCGACAAATATTGACCAGTGCGCCGGCCCGGGTGGACATTGTCAGCAACTTATATTTAAACGATACACGTTGTTGTATTTCTCTCTATTTTGGGTTCTATGTCCTGTAATCAATTTATTAGTGATTTAGGCATCCTAAAAACTCCACTGACAGAATAAAATATGATTTATGAACGCAATCGGTGTTTCTCTGTCAATAACAGAGGTTAGTGAATCTTTCCCCAAAAAGAGCAGTGAGGTCAGCCTTCCTGTAATTAATGAATACATTCTTCTACAGTCCTCATTACCTTTCTCGTCGTCACTAATAAGGACGTTTAACAGCTGTTGTCAGGCAAAAGCGATACCCAGTCATGATGCATGTAGCACAATAAGTGTTAATAACCCAGTTATGACACTTACTAGCCTGAAGTTTTTCTGTGGAAAGGGATGATGGAGAAAGAAATGTGAAAGTTTTCTGCCGAGAGTTGCAAAGGAAAAAGCATGAGGACAGAAAGATTATTTGTCTATGAAAATATATTTTTAGGAAATTGTATGGCTCCAGGAGGAAATGATTATTGTCAAAAACAGGAAACTGTCTTAGGATCATAGACTCTGAGCTCAAAAGCCCCAAGTTCACTGTGTGTCAGTTATTGCAAATCATGTGATTAATTGCAAAACTAAAAAGGAATTTGCAACAGCAATAACTTTTAACTAGTCCTACCACCTACAAGAACAAAGTTACAAATTAATCACATGATTTGCAATAAGCCTGTGGCAAAGAACCTTGGTGTTTGGTTTGATAGTAATTTAAATTTCGAGCAGCACACCACAAAGCTTGTTCAATCATGTTTTTATCAACTTAGAAATATAGCTAATATTCGATCTATGTTAACTGTTAAGGACACCGAGACCATTTTACACGCCTTCATCTCATCACGCCTGGATTATTGCAACAGCCTTTTCACCTGTTTAACCCAAAAATTTATTGATCGACTCCAGACTGTCCAGAACTCAGCTGCCAGGCTTTTAACCAGAACAAAGAAATATGACCACATTACTCCTATTTTAGCTTCATTACACTGGCTCCCAGTATGTTTTAGAATTGACTTTAAAATTCTATTGATCACTTTGAAGCACTTTGTAACTTGTTTTTGAAAAGTGCTCTACAAATAAGGATTATTATTATTATATTATTATTACAAAGTGCTTTACAATAAAGCATAATAAAAGCAAACGTTATACAATAATTACAACAAAAAAACCATCAGTTTAGATAAAGCCATACGATAAAAGCAAGTGTTAAGAAGATTTTAAAGAACTATATGAGAGTCCTACATTATTACCTATTCAACTTGCCTTTTCTTTCTGGGAGGGCCCAGTGTCAAAATGTAGTGTTTTTACTTTAATACATTTATATTGTGCTCATAGTGCAAATGCTATTTTGTGACGAATCAAATTACCATTAAAATACATATATTTCCAGCCCAGGGGCACTGATTTGTTTCTGGGTATCTGGGTGAATAATTCTTGTCTTTTGTGTGCATTGTGCTTAATGGAAAACTGGCGACAATGTATATGGGGTAGGTTACGGTAGGCAACAACTTGTTCGGGCCCCTTAACAGGTTAATCTGTGAATTCACTCTGAGAGCAGACTCAGTACTGCTGGTATTTTTTGAAATACTATTTATATCAGTTTGTCTTGTGCTTATATGTGACAGTTCTGTCAAGCAAACGATAATTATGCCAGAAATGTAATTATTTTTAATTACAGTGAATATTTTACTCATCTGGGAAAAGCACTACTTTTGCCAAGAGCCTGCACTCGATTGCTTTCCCCTGGAGTCTAAGGGGACGTGAGTCGATAGCAGAGTTGATGCTATGCTGATGCAACACACTGACAGGTCCACCCTACCGGCTTTTCTCACCCGCGTCTCATTGTAAGAAGACAGGCTTTGAGGTGAGTCAGTAGCTTGTATAGTATGGCTGTCTTATAAACAGATATTGCTGTCAGATAAACTGAAAACGTAGTGTTTAGATTGGTCGCAGTTTGTCTTAACCCGAAACACCAGGAGATTGGAAACGTTAGCTGCACATGGTATTGTTGCTAGCTAGCTAAGTTAACTCTAGCTGGCTTGTTCATTCATTATCAGCGTGGCGTTAAAGGTGAGCTGGCCAATGAGGTAACTGTTAGCTAGCATATTGTCTCGAAGTTGACTGAACAGCCGGTTCCTGATATATGCAGCAAACTGGAGTTTTTTGTTTTAATTGTAAAAACATAGCTAACGTTAGCCAGGAGCTCCACGTTCCTGTGCTAAGTATAGTGTCACTTAACTTATCATTAACTTATTCCTGTTCAGTTAAACGTCAACATCCCCTTTCTCAGTGGCTAACTTAGTCGGATAGAACATGCCGAGTACATTTTACTAACCGTCATGGTCTTCTAATAAACTCACCTCATAGAAAATGAATTGGATTCTCGCTGCTTGCCACCGCTTGGTGTGGACCAGGACTGGTAAATCGAGATTGATTGGGCCAAATCAGTTCAGATCAATCAGTCAGAGAAATGTTACCACCTTGTCTGTTCCCAGGGCAACATTAAACAGAAAGAGTTTATGATCATATAGGCTCTAGAAAGTGGAACAAAGCTGCTGCCATTAATTCATAACAATGCTTAAATTCCCATGTTCCTCTTCAGAAGGCCCTGCACCATGGCAGATCAGCTAAGCCCTGAGGAGAAGTTCCACCTCATTACTAGGAACCTCCAGGTGGGACACGCGAAACAAATATAAACTCACAGTAGCTAAAGTCCTCCATTAGCTTGGTCTCATTAATCTCTTGAACGCATGTATTGCAGGAGGTCCTTGGAGAGGAGAAGCTGAAACAGGTTCTTCAGGAGAGAGAGCTGAAGGTGTACTGGGGCACAGCGACCACTGGCAAACCCCATGTAGCTTACTTTGTCCCTATGTCCAAGATAGCAGACTTCCTCAAGGCTGGATGTGAGGTAGGTAGATCTCTTTGAGAATCTTGTCTTTGCCGGAATTCAGGAATTAGATTTAATCTCTACTTCGTGCTAAATCAAAGCTTTGCGTACCAGTAGGCAGTAGCTTATACACATGTTTTTATTTCTTCTTCTTTTCCTCAGGTCACTATTCTGTTTGCAGACTTGCATGCTTACCTAGACAATATGAAAGCTCCCTGGGAGCTGCTGGAGCTCAGGGTGAAGTACTATGAACAGGTCATCAAGGCCATGCTGGAGAGCATTGGTGTGCCTCTGGATAAACTCAAGTTTATCAAAGGAACTGACTACCAGCTCAGCAGGTCAGTTGTGCCTCTGGTACTCAGGCTGTCTTCATTTATTTAAATCTACATTCTGCCAAACAGACTATGCTTAAACTAATGTTTTAGGTCTGTATTTTCATGTTTGTCAGAGAGTACACTCTGGATGTGTACCGTCTGTCCTCCATGGTGACAGAGCATGATGCTAAGAAAGCTGGAGCTGAGGTCGTCAAACAGGTGGAGCATCCCCTGCTGAGTGGCCTGCTCTACCCTGGACTGCAGGTAATAACACTGTTCTAGATGTAGTAGTATCTGCGGGACTCATCACACTGTCTGCTACTAAGGAGTGGCTCATAACCCTAATGTAAATGTCCACATATGGCTTTATATAATTAGGGCACTGTCATATAGAACTCTTTAGAACCTGTTAAAGTAGTAAATGTGATTTGATTTGTCTTTGTCTTTAGGCTCTGGATGAGGAGT